AAAAATTCTTTTCTTTCCTCAAACTAGCTAAGAAGCTGTACATATTACAATATTTTGTAGATTTCCTAAGCCAAGGACAAGTAAACTTAAGAGTGGTATTCTTTTGTCTATCTGCAAATTAGCTTGAATGAAAGCCTTTATCTTATCTCAAATCAACTGTAATACAAGAAGCTTGATGCCAACTATTTTGAAAGCTGTGCCATATAACCAGGTATTGAACACTCAGGCAACATAAACAGGCATCTCGGGAAAGTTACTGAATAGCTATGCAAGGCTAATTGTGTTTCTCAGTGATAAACTGAAGAGCTACAGGCAGACTGATGTCAGTTAGAAAGCAGGTTTTTTGTTTAACATAGTGGCTACCCTTCTTGCCAGGTACATTCCCATCAGGAAATTTGCAATTTCCTAATGTGCCACACTCTTACTAACTTCCAGAATTACTCTGTGTACTTCTCTGGTGAATTCTTTATTTTTATTCTACTAAGACAATCCCCAGGTAAAAACATCCCTCATTCTTCTTCTCTGTTTTCAATGGCACATTGTCTATACCCATATTACAATACATATTTATCTCGTTGCTTATTGAAACTGCTTACTTGCTGATTTTGTCCGCTGGAAGTAAGGACTATGCCTTCTTCATCCTTGTACCCAGTATCACATACAGTGCCTGGCACTTTAGAAACACAGAAAACAATGTTTGTTTGTGTTTTAATAAAGGCAGTACTTAGAGCAGTGAGATCAAGAGCATAACAAGAATACTGACAAAGGAATATTATTTGGTGGTGGTATAGATGAAAAAAACCATATAATTTTGTGTTAACTAATACAGTTTACAGATGACATCCAATTTAGGAGCATAAAAGATGTCAGTAGGTTCAGAATTGATAGCAAAATGACTAGGCATGTTTGATATAAAATTAAGATCTAGATAGAAGGTAGGAAGTGAATGTAAGCAAAAGTAAGTCAAGGACTTGCAATGAAAAGACCATTAAATTTAGCCAGATGGATGTTTTTTATAACAGTTTTAGGATAGAAAGAAGATCCAATGAATCTATTGAAAACTGCAGTATAAGCAAAGGAGACTTTCCATTAAATGCTTATATTAACAAATGAGGCAAATAGAAGCAATGAAACACTGAGTTTACAGTTTAACATAAAATCATCACAAGAATACAGATTATAGAACAATCATTGTTAAAGTAATGATCAGATAGTTCAGAGTAGAAAAAGAGTAGAGAGAAAGTGGGTGTTGAAAGGTACAACTGAGTTGGTAAAGAGCTGTGCAACAACAGCCAAGGTGGGAGCTAACAGTGACCTAGGTATGTTTGAAGAACAGAAAGTCAGACCAAGGATGAAACATGCTGTTCTGAAGGTAGATGCTTTTGGTTGACATTTGAAATTTGAGTTGGATTATACAAAGCTTTTTATTTCCATAGATCTTCAAACTTTTTCTATGGTGCTGATAACCATGCAAATCGATATTTAACTTGCCATTAAAAAGAGCCTGGAACTAGTAAGAGTGTCTGGGCTGACTGCTAAGGGGATTCCAGGACTGGAACATCAGTGATTTCAGCAATTGTGAATTGTGCTACAGTAACAATTCGAGTGCAGGTTGTTTTGGATAAATAATGTATTTTCTTTGGGTAATATCCAGTAGTGGGGTTGCTGATCAAATGGTAGGTCTACCTTTAGATCTTTGAGGAATCTTCATAGTGTTTTCCATAGACGTACTAATTTGCAGTCCTTCCAACAGTGTATAAGCGTTCCTTTCTCTTTGTATCCATGCCAGCATCTATTGTTTTGGGATTTTTTAAATAAAAGCCATTCTGAGGTAAGGTGATATCTCATTGTGCTTTTAATTTGTATTTTCCCGAGGATTAGTGATGTTGAGCATTTTTTCATATGTTTATAAGCCATTGTTTATCTTCCTTTGAAAATCTTCTGTTCATGTCTTTTGCCCACTTTTTAATGGGTTTTTTTCTTGCGGATTTATTTAAATTCTTCATAGATTCTTGTTATTAGTCCTTTATCAGATGTGTACCTTGCAAGTATTTTCTCCCATTCTGTCGGTTGTTTGCTCTGTTGGTTGTTTCCTCAGCTGTACAAAAGCTTTTTAATTTAATCAAGTCCCATTTATTTTTGCTGCTGTGATTGCCACTGGGGTCTTCTTCATAAATTCTTTGCTTAGGCTGAAATCTAGAAGGGTTTTTCTAAAATTTCTTCTAGAATTTTTATGGTTTCATGCCTTACATTTAAGTCTTTTATCCATCTTGATTTAATTTTTGAGTGATGAGAGACAGGAATTCTGTTTCATTCTTCTGCATGTGGCTCTCCAATTCTCCCAGCACTGTTTATTAAATAGGGCTTCTTTTCTTCAGTGTATATTGTTGTATAATTTGTCAAAGATCCAGATGGCTGTCTGTGGATGGTTTTACATCTGGGTTCTCCGTTCTGTTCCATTGGTCTATGTCTCTATTTCTGTACCAGTTCCATGCTGTTTTGGCTACTATACCCTTGTAGTATAGCTTAAAGTCTTGCAAAGTGATGCCTCCAGATTTTTTCTTTTTGCTTAAGATTGCTTTGGCTATGTGGGCTCTTTTCTGATTCCATATGAAGCATAGAATTATTTTTTCTAGATCTGGAAAAACTGATATTGTTATTTTAATGAGGATTGCATTGAATCTGTAAATCATTTGGGTAGTATGGACATTTTAACAATGTTGATTCTATTAATCCAAGAGCATGATATGTTTTTCCATTTGTGTCACTTGTGATTTCTTTCCTCAGTGTTTGATAGTTCTCTTTGTAGAGATCTTTCACCTCCTTGGCTAAGTATATTCCTAGGTATTTTATTTTCTTTGTTGCTATTGTGTAAGGTATTCAATCTTTGATATATGACTCTCAGCTTGACTGTTACTGGTGCATAGGAATGCTACTGATTTGTGCACAGATTTTGTAACCTGATACTTTGCTAAATTTATCAGTTCCAGGTGTCTTTTGATGGAATCTTTGGGGTTTTCTAGATACAAGATCATTTTGTCAGCAAATAATGATAATTTGACCTCCTCTTTCCCGGTTTGGATACTTCTCTTGCCTGATTGCTCTGGCTAGGACTTCCAGCACTGTTGAATATAAGTGGTGACAGATAGTAGCAGCATACTGAATGGGGAAAAGTTGAAATCATTCCCACTAAGAACTGGAATAAAATATTTTAATTCTATAAAAATTCAGTGAGAACTTCATTTTATTAGTTAATAAATGAAATGCTTTATAATACATGAGATATTGTGATACCTGTGATTAACGTTGGTGCTGGACTCCTTTGTGTCGATTTACTCTAATTATTTTATTTGAATTAACAGTATAATTTTACATGTAGTCCTAATTTCTCAAAGTCTGAACTTGGATTATATATTATTCCACTGAAAAAAATTTGATTTTATTACATAAACTAGGCAGAATACCAGAAATTTTGCACACTACCCTATGAATTCTCTTAAATTCATACCCAAAAGTAAGGGTATGAATTATATAACTACCCATGTGTCTTTTGGGAATTATAACATTTTCAAGATTTATGGAAAAATGACAATGATTATTTTAATTGTGTGGATTTCAAAAGCACTTCTAAAATTTGTTGACAAAATGTTTTTGCTGGCTACCACAAATATAGACAGTATCTTTGTATTGAAATACGTCTTTAAAAGCTAGCTGGAAACCATCTCAGAAGCAGGATACGTTTTTTAATGCTATTTTGGAGAAGTTTCATTAATAGAATCCCTATAATTGTCAAACTGCATCATTTAAGATTTAAAAGTTTTATCTTTAAAACTATTTTGAATATACTAATTGCAAATAAGTATCTTATAATGTGATTTTATATTTATACACTAGTTGAATTGCTTATAAGCAAAAATGAAAAATGAATTATACATTCCATAAAACAGATCACTGAATTATCCCTTGAGTTGTTTTTCAATTTATTTTGAGTCTTTCATTTTTAAACCTTTTATTTTTTAAGTGAAATCATTCAATTTTTTTAAGTGAAATCATTCAATTTTATTTTAATTTCTGGAGACAGAATCTCACTCTTGTTGCCCTGGCTAGAGTGCCGTGGCATCAGCCTAGCTAACAGCAACCTCCAACTCCTGGACTCAATAGATCCTCCTGTCTCAGCCTCCCAAATAGCTGGGACTACAGGTATGCACCACCATGCCCGGCTAATTTTTTCTATATATTTTTAGTTGGCCAATTAATTTCTTTCTATTTTTAGTATAGATGGAGTCTTGCTCTTGCTCAGGCTGGTCTCAAACTCCTGAGCTCAAACAATCCACCTGCCTCAGCCTCCCAGAGTACTAGGATTATAGGCATGAGCCACTGCACCCGGCCGATTTTAACAGCATTTGGGAATTTGGTGAGTAGCTGAGCTTTGAAAAGAGTCTATCTTTCTTCAACTTCAATCGCAAACCATTGCTTTAACAGAAACATTAGCTCTTTCCAATTCTGGACATCCAAATCCTGCCCCTATGTCTATGTAGAGGGATATTAGAAGTTGCCACTCGAGAAGAAAAATGTTTTAATTCTCATTTGTGTTTGACATAAATGGTGATTCAAATACTTAAATAGTTGCAGAAACTCTTTTTAAAAAAAAGTATCTTCTTGAAAACTTAACTTTATTAGACAATCTAGCCCAAGTGTGTAATATTTAAAATTACTCTATCAAAACTGGCTAACAATAAGCTTACTAGGCAAAAAAAAAAAAAAAAGATCAGTAAATACCTACACTTAACATTCTTAATTCTGGGACAGAATTTTAAGGTCCAGATTAATGTACTTGTAAGTTAAATCCCTCTGTTTAATGATATAAAAAGTCTCACATTTTAATACATTGTTTTCACACTCATATACACATATAAAAGTTAGGAGACTTAGAAACATGTTTATAATGGATATATATAATGTGAAATATAATCTGAATAAAAATTTTATTACAACACTTCTCTATTTTAAATCATGTTTATTATTTAAATTTTTTATCACAGTAGAGATTAACTTATGCTTAATCATCCAGTCAGTGCCTACTGTCAACGTCATCAAATTCCAAGAAAGTAAAATCAACTCATTCATACACTCCCATTACTACCCCACCACTCATTGCCTATGTTTTTTTCCCTTTTAACGGCAATATTGTGATAAGATTGTGTGAAAAGGTATAATAGGCTTCTATGTATAATACCATTTCTTCAAGTATCAGAGAGCAGTACATTTGTCTGCATTGCATATTAGAAAATTACTGGTAACATTTTTCTACATATAGGAGAGTGGCTCCTGGTGGGTATGTAATGACACTGTCATAGTGTATGCCGAGGATTTACAGCATTCTAGAATTTTCACTTCTTCAAGTTAGTGAATGCCATTAGGTAAATGTTGTATTTGTCTACTCTCAGCTGTGGGATTTCCAACTACAGATAAATAAAGCATACACTCAACATGTGTAGTGCAAATGCTAAGTAAACAATGACATGGAATAAACTCAGTTGCCAATTAGTGAATGGTTCAGCAGGGAGATCCCGATCTTATGTCTGTGGCGTGCATCCCTGTTCTCGAATACTGTCACTATTCCACGTCAGCCACAATGACTGGAAAAGGCTGCTGGGGTGGCGGCGGCTGAGGGAGTAAGTAGGAACTCATTTTCATAAACAACTGGTACAGTTTCTCTGTTGCTTCTATATATCATGTAGTCTGATTTGTTAAGATCTCAAACCTCTCTAGACAAAGCAGGTACCAATAAGAATTGCAAATATTCCATCTAAAAGCATTAAAAGTTGGCACCTATGTAACATAGATTATGTGGCCTGGACAATAAAAGGGATGAGGAACATGGTTTTTTTAAAAGGTAAAATTTTGGAAATGAAATACCTGAACATTCCAAAGTTACATTGTAGAAAAGCCATCAAACAGTTACACAAACATTCAAACAATGGCCCTGTTTAAAAATGCCACTAAGATAAGCAATAATCTTCAATACTTTGAACAAAAGTCAGATTTGTTGCTTTGTCTAATTATACGTTAACATGTTACTCATTAAAATGAAATAGAAAAAACTATAAAATTCTTCCACAGGAAAATTATCAGTAGTGGTAAAACAAAAGTAAAATGTGACAACCAATTTATACAATTACTTAATTACATATTTTCCCCCAGAAGTGTCCAGTCTGTAAGAAAAGGAAAACAAAATCAGAAAAACAAAACAACTAAAACAAAAAGTACAAAAAACTGCCATTTCTTTTTATTTTCTTCCTCTGCATCCAGTTTTGAAGGAAAAGTGTTCTTTCATGGTAGTGTTCTATCTTTCTATTTCATTCTTGAATGTGTTGTACCCTCAACAAATATAACGAGCAGCCACTAAAAATTCTCTTAGGAGACACACATACACACAAACACACACAAACCTTATTAAGAAAATGAAACCATTCCTTATCTGGGACACACATGTATCAAGATTTAAAACTAAGATCTGACATGGTCACTTAGTTGATTTAAATAATTAAGGCTTCTAAAAGGTTCAGTGCCGAAACTCTCTATCAGTTTGAATAAAATGCACTTTTGCATTTTAGGTTTGTGCTTTTATAGCCATCTTAATTCCATAGAATTTCACTAGTAAGATCTGACAAGGGCATGTTAGAATTGTTTACTGATGTTTTACTTTTAGTAGCTGTTAGACTAAATAATAGTGCTAAAAATTCAATGACTGAACAGATTTGTTTCTATTACCTGGGCTGTTGGCTCATTTGACCTTCTTTTCATGTTTAATATGGCCATTTCTTTTGTATTTGCCATTGAGGATTCCATTGTGGTAATGTCCATTAACTGTGCTATGCTTATTTCTAGACCACAGGCTTTTGATTTTTCTGTAGATAAATTTTGTCACCCAGGACAAGAGGAAGTAAAACAAGGCAGCACCAAGCAAAAGCACGAAGGCAATATCCAGTAAAAAATACTGACAGAAAGAGATTTGATGAACTGTGGCACGCAGGTGGTGGGCTCCATTGTGACGAAGAATGTAGTCTATCCAATAGATAGTCCGATTGACGGGGTGACCTGGTTGATCCTTGTGAATTTCCGAAAGTTTCCGGGCCCTCTGTCGGTAGCTGTGCAGAGGGTAAAACACAGAATGATCATGTTTATACACAGTTCTGCATTTGTGGATATCCCAATTTGAAAATGGGGAAAATAGCAAAAACAACTATCTTTAAGTATCGTGCATGTATGGGCATGGTGTTAAGTGCTTTAATCATACTATCTTATGTATAACTCAATAAAATGAATTTTAAAATGCTGAAGAAAATGAAAATCAGAGATTAACTTGATTATGTTTAAAAAGCTGAGATTTGAATTCGTTTTTCTGATGCAAACTCTGTGCTTGCTTCTCTATACCACACGTAGTCCTTCTTGCCATATGTTTTTAATTAAGGAGTCTCAACCTGCAAGGGAAGTAAATTTTTTAGATTCTTTTAGAATTTATTAGATGGAAGGATGGAGTAAAATATACAGAAAAGTTCTTTTTTATTAACAATGACATTTGTTTCAATTTAAAATAACATTAAAGGCATGAGAATATTGAATAGATAAAAGTAGATTGAGAAACACTACTAAGTATTGAGCCACATATGCAGTTTTATAAGTGTGTATGCATGTATATATGTATACAGAAATCACCCTCTTAAATGGTTAATTCAAAAACCAATTAAAAATAATCACAAAAGTGACAAAATGTAAACATTTAAAAATATGTAACTTCATATCTGTGTGCCAATCTTTGAGAAATTACCAAAGCCCCCTTTGCATAAACCGGATTGGGGTTTGTATTGTTTAGACCTAAGAAATAACCTGGAGAGTATAAAATATATCAGTATCACAGAAGACATGGCTCTTGAGTTGTGCCCCACAGAACAAAAGTTTGGATGTGTGAAGACTTGATAGGCCAAGGGATAAGTGTGAACTAAATCACAAAGGTAGAAGAGTGAGGGTATGCACAGAAAAAATTTTGGAAAGTATATAGTATGAGGGGTATTTATTTAGAAGTTAGACTGGAAGAAGATGAGTTTTGTTCATAGGTCATTTGAATGGTAAGATATGTAGCTTAGTTCAAGCCATTAGGTGAGAAAGACAGGCTGTTAAACCAGAAGGAAGATACTGATGGTGGAAAATCCATTCAAAAGACCTCACTAATGGCTAAAGAGAAACTGCCAAAAAATGGTTGTAGAATTAGACAGTGGGAAATGCTGTAGTAGGAAGATATGGCAGGGGTTAAATGTGAAGGGAGAGGGAGAAATCAGATGTTACTGCAATGGACAGCTCACACAGTGGAGTGGATTAATAGGACACAGACACACACGACACGGGGCAGGCTGAGAGAAATGACTATGGCTCGGGATGAAGGAAAGGAGAGGTCCACGAAGCAGCTGGGAAACGAAGCTGGAGCTACATGATTACAGTGCGTAATGAAGAACCAACTAAGGTATTAATGACTCATTTGCTGATACTTTTTAAAAATAATTTTACTCCAGACCTACACATTAAGCTTTAAAAATTAAGAACCAGTGAACAAAGATTATTAGGAGTGAGGGAAAGAGCAACTCAAGGTGCTTACTTGCAGGTTTCTTTCTACAATGACATCAGATGAGACAATGCAATTAGCAGGCATGTATTTTCTCTCATCAATGCCTCACAACAAAATTAGAGTTATATAATAAACCCAGTTTATTATATTCAAAAGTATCAAAACCTCACCCAAATGTTAACAGGTCATCCTCACCTTGGTTTGTAATTTATCATGATTTCTAAAATGGCAAAAGAAACTAGAAACTTTGTATGATTCCATTTTGTAAGAAATGCTTATGGGATAAAAAGGCATCTGTAAAATACAAAAATGAAACACGGTGTCTTAGAAAATAAAATCCAACCTTCTATTTTAACTAATATGGAGAAGGAGGATAAAAACAATCTTAGTCCTCAGGTACCTTAATGTCACTGTGCATAAAAAGATTAAACAGTTTCTTCTGTAGGTAATCTGACTTCATGCACTGTTGAATAAATACAACGCATATGGAACTGCAACTGGTTCACTTGGACCTGGATCACTACTTGGCAGAAAATCTCACAAAGCCTGCCTCCACTTACCTGAGTATCGAGTAAGGACTTTCATCAGTCAGACCATTGGTCCTACCCAGAAGAACGCTCAATGCTGAACTGCTTACTAACCAATCCAATTTTATATAACTCTTTTCTATGGATCAACTGGAAAGAAATACTGGGGACTCTACAGGTAAGTTTTTGAAGCAGAAGTATTTCCCATGTTGCAACTGGCCTCAAATTGAGTGTTCAGTGGAATTGTCCTTTCAGCATAGTTTGCTTTAAAATTCAAAATTCCTTCCAGTAAGAATATGAATATTGTGTTTAAAATAGTCCCTTAAGCCATCTCTAAACTCTCCCAAGGTATCTCTTAGATAAAGGTCCTTTTAATAATGACCTTGTAAGGGGCTCATGTCGCTCGCACATTACATTTTACAAAAGCCTAAGTGTCTTCTATTAAAAAGTTGACCACGGGTTGGATATACACTAAGTTAATAATGATCAACTCCCCAACTTTCTCCCTAACTTGATTCAAAACAATAAAAGCTCCAGCCTCAAAAGAACCCTCCGCAAAAGAAGGGGCAATAGGTTTTTTTGAGACAGTCTTGTTTTGTTGCCCTGGCTAGAGTTAGTGTTATAGCATTAGCCTAGCTCACAGCAATCTCAAAATTCTGCATTCAAGTGATCCTCCTGCCTTGGCCTCCCAAGTAGCTGGGACTATAGGTGCACACCACCATGCCAGGTTAATTTTTTGTTTCTATTTTTAGTAGAGGCAGTGTCTCGCTCTTGCTGGTCTCGAACTCCTAATCTCAAGCGATCCTTCCACCTTGGCCTCCCACAGTGTTAGGATTACAGGCGTGAGCCACCGCCCTGGGCCAGTTTTGTATTAAGTAAATCCAAGCACTAGTAAGGGAAGAAGATGTATGATTTCATTAAAGTTATAGGTTAAAAAATAAGGAATACCTTTTAAATAATATTGGTTACTTGATTTAAACTAGAATATCTTGGAAATAGAATCAGTGAAGCAAATTACTCTTTTTAAATAATGATTACATGTTAAATGTGGAACACTGTCATATTTGAAACACAGATAAATGACTTTAGTTCATATGACTTTTAGCAAAGGGCATAACTACACAAATCATTGTCATTTTTACACTGCCTAAGTTTTCCTTCTACCCTGAATGTACAAAAGCTTTTTAAATATTGAAAGTTTTCAAGAGTTACATGCAATTAACTCATTATCTGATATGCATACTTTTTGGAGTGACATAAACTTATTCACTGCACAAAATTAAAATCATTCTGAAATCAAGCACTTATGTATACTTCAAGATTCTGTAGATGAGATTTAATTGCAGTGTGAGCTAAGACCCTAACCTGTTCTGTCTTATTCAGCCTGGCTCATGCCTCACAGAACACAGCTGGCCTACCTTCCTGTGAATAACCCAGCTTTTTACTCTTTTCCTTATAACTGACCCCAACCTCAGTGGCTCTGCAACTGTCCCCCTATCCACAACTCCACTTTAGGGCTGTGTTTTACAAACTTTGTTTTAAAAAGACTATATGCTTTAGAAAGCACTAGGCCTTGAAAAACTATAGATCATAGGAGAAGGGGCATGCTAAGACACCCCTAGTCATAGAAGATATCACCCCAAGTGCCACAGCTATAACCAAGATACTGGGTGTTTTAAGAGGCCCGAGCATGAAGGCCACCCTTCAGTCCTCAAAGGCAGCATAATGAACCTCAGCTGAATTCAGCATTTTATATAGAAGCTACATCATTTCATATGAAATAACTTTTCCTATTGTTGGTTCTTCCTTAGACTGTGGCAGTGTTTCTCAACCCAGTGTTAAGCTGTATCTCCCAGGTATAAAGAGAAAAAGTTTACACTCTTCAAATCTTTAATGCCATTTGAAATGCACAGTAAATTAAACATATCTAAGAATGGAAAAAATGGCCGCTTTGTCTTAAAACTACACAGGCCAGTTCTCCACCCTTTGAGATTTGTTTGTAAACTAGGTTAACTCAGGACCGATCAAAAATTTAAAAAGTAAAATAAAGAGTCTGCTTTTATCATTCACCTAACTAAATAAATCTCAGCATTCAGTAATACCTAGGGCTAGGGAAACCGAACAACACCATGCGTGACATGCAGCACAAAGAGCACTGGCTTGGGGGTCAGATGGCCGTGACTTCTCATTTCTATTCTAATTGCTGTGTGACTGTGAGCAAATTACTTAAAACTCTCTGAATTTCAAGTGCTTTGTCTCTACAATGTGGATAATAACTATGATATATGGCTATTATGAGAATGAAAATGAAATAAAGGATACATCTGATGCACTGTAGAAACCCAGTGATTGTTCCCATTGTAGTTTCTCCCTCAGTCTGGCAAATCTGGGTAGAATATTATTCAGGGTCATAACACAGCTGGCCAAATGATTGCTATCTTTCAAATTACAGAAAACATGCACAAGGAATTATCACAGGAATCTAAAGGATATTTCCATAATTAGTTTGACAATTTACTGTCAGTAATTGGCTACTGATGATATACTATGGTATATGTATTTATCTGCTTTAACAGTAACTAAAACCTTACCTGGGATTAGTGATAACTTTCATCAGTGCATCATAGAGCTCTTCTTCAGTAACTGTCTTCCACTGGAGTAATATCCCCATGCCTTTCGCCTGGACTCTGGTCATTGTATCATAATGGTCTCCAAAGAGTGGGATTCCCACCACAGGCACACCATGATACATGGTTTCAAAAATACTATTCAAACCACCATGGCTCAGGAAGGCTTTAATATTTGAATGCCCTAGAGAAAGATAACAAAGAAAACAACTTACAACATCACTACTCTAGAGGAGAGATTTTTTTTTCCAGAAATAGTACAGATTAAAAATCAACATTATAGTTAACATACATCTCAGATACAGGATTTCTAAAGGCATCATCTCACTGATTCCTGTTCTATGACTTACTTGGTATATACATAACTACCTGACTTGTATATATCAATTAAAAGCCATTTTTAGGTAGCTGAAATGTATAGCTTTAAGAAAGATTTTACAGCTCTCTCTCAAACACAATCACCTGACTAGCAACATGTATTTAAATGGGCAATAATTAATTGGAAGCCAATGAATCCATGAAATGCCAAACAAGACCACAGTGGAACCATATTCCACTGAAAGATATCTATTTCCTGACTTCAAGCATTTATCTATATTAGAGTCAAACACACTTTATTAAAAAAAATATGTAAAAATGTAGGGCTGGATTCCAGCAGTCTGTGAAGAGTTAATGTGCTTCTCCGAGGAATGTTAAATAATAAACACTCTTTGTAGCATTCATGTTCCATCAGAATCCATGTTTCACAATTTTTATGGTTCAATTTTACATTTTAGGTATACAAACAAGTAGAGACATTCATAAAAATCAGTTGAGAGAGATGGGACATCATGTGACATCTAGTTGCCACGGGAATAAAAGGGATAATTTGTCAAAATTAATGAGGTAGTCTAAAAACCCATTTTTGTTCTCCTAGTAAACAGCCTACATTTCATAAAAAGGATTGAAAGACTTGCATGAGAAGTATAAGAAAAATATACTGCACATAGGAAATGAATTACTGGCCACAAAGGAATTAGAGCTTGCAGAAATATAAATCTTTCAAAATATACACACGCCAGGTACAAAACTACATGTGTGAATCATGGTCTCAGTGGGAACCTCGAGGCTCTCCCGTCTCAGAGTCTAGTGGGGTTGGTCAGTCAATGTCTCTCTGGCCTTTATCCACGGGTCTCCAACTCTTAGGTGCAATTAAAAGGACCCACCCTAGAAGTGGATTTCAAAGTTCCTTTTCAGTGGCAGAACCGTATTTCCAACCCCACAGCAGAGCTGGCCTCTGAAGAGGAGGGGAGTGGTGTGAGGAGAGGGGAAGACACTGACTTGATTCCTACTTCCCATCCAGGAGGAATCTTGTGATCGTAGTTATATGCCATTAGAGGACACAAGGGTCATGCCTAGAGTTTAAAAGGACATTCGTCTTGGAGAAGTCAGAGCACCCAGACTATGAGGAACACAGAGGAGCTACAGAGACTTGGGGAGGGTGTTCAGCATGGACCTTGCTTAGCACCTCACAGTAAAAACCAAACAAAACACATACACAATAAAAATTGGGATGCTCCTACATAAGTGTCACACAGTTGCACTGAATAGCTGACAGTCAAGTTACCTTATTTCCTGTTTTTTTTTTTACCTTCTATGGAATCTGAAGTCATAATAGTAAAGACGTGAAAGATTAAAAAAATACAAGTATCACGATAGGTAAATTGCCTTGTCTTCTTTTCCCCTAAGTTTTATCATTTATAGAATATTTACACTACATGAAAAGAAATTATACCCATAAATAAAATTCTTTACTGGTTTTTAGGAGGATCATTGTAGCTTATAGAAAATACATTTTAAAAGCCTATTCTTAAGAGTGTAGTTTAAAATTTAAACCACTTTTACATGATATTAGGTGTTAGTATTATGGAATAAATGGTGCTCAATATTGCCAAAATCAGTAATATCCTTTTTATAATATCCTTAGTAAATAATATATTAAAGAATAATATGGCATTATATTTTCCTAAAAATTTAATGAATAAATCTTTAAATTTTTTACCATGTTTATGTTATTGAACATGGAGTTAAATTACTTAAATTACTTAAATTCAAATATACTTAAAAGATATGTATATAAAAATTTTTGAGTTGAGGAACATAATCCCAAGAAATAAATCAAAATAAATAATGCTTCAAAAATGCCTGGTGAATTATGAGGAAAGAGACAGATGACCCAATTAAAGTTAAAATAAATCAATTATTCCCCTGGCCTTCTGCTTCTCTTTGTAATAAGCTATAGCCCAAATCTGCATTTTCATTGTTTTAATTTTATTACTTTTACCTGATTAGCCTAATCAGGAATAGCTTTATTTACTATTAATTTATATAGTTTATTAAGTATATTTTCTAGATAATTAAAATTGGTGGCTGATCTAAACATTTTGATATATAATCCCAAATGATTATAAACAGTTTTATAATAAGTAAAGATTTGAAATGTTGGCCTGGAATTTAAAACTTGAGATACTCAATAAAAACAGAATGAAAAAAGCATCAGAAATGCTAGAGAAAAAAAACTGACTGACTCCATCATAAACTACCTACATTTTGTACAATGTTCTCAAGTAAAAAAAAAACAAACAAAAAAAACCATTTATATAATTAAAATCTAACACTCAAGTAAGTACCAAGATGTCACCGACTTACCCAGCAGGTCATTTTGTGGTAACCATTCTATGAGCTTAGTGTTGTTTCCTAGATTCTTTGGTTTGGGTCCAGAAAATCTAAAATGTACAAGAGAAAAATGAATCTTTCAAAAAACCAATCTTACGATATGGGCTCTCTGGTTAAAATATCAGATTTAAAATAAATGTTACATTTTTTTTTGATATTAAGAATAAAGCCATGCTTCAGTAAAACAATAAAAATTTGATTATATTTCTTTTTTAGAGAGAGGGTCTCACTTTGTCACCCAGGCTGGAGTACAGTGGTGCAATAACAGTGCACTTCAACCTCCAACTCCTGGGGTCTCAAGCAATCCTTCCACCTCCGCCTCCTGAGTGGTTAGGCCTAGAGGTGTGCGCCACTCATGCCTGGCTAATTTTTTATCTTTTGTAGAGACAGGGGCTTGCTCGTTTCCCAGGCTTGGCCTTGAATTCTTGGCCTTAGGGATACTTCTTCTGCCTTGGCTTCTGGAAGTGCTGGTATTACGGGTATGAGCCACCACACTCAGCTTAAGTTCTAATCAAAAAACTTTCATTGATTGAAGGATAAATAATTTGCTTATACAGAAATCTAATATTTTCCACTGGCTCCTTTCACTTATACACATATACAGAGATGACAAAAAAGCAACTAAACAAACCAACACCTAGGAGCTGAAACATGAAGGGCCAGGGAGGCCCACCATCAGGCATTCAGTCAGTGACCCTAATCCTTGACACCCAGAGCCTGAGCGAACACAAAAGTATTGAGAGAATGTACTCTTTATTAGCTTGGCCCCAGAGACAGGAGTTCTGTGGAACAAAGAACATAATTAGGCTGTTCTCTGTCTCACCTTTGAAAGATAAACCATAAACATGCTTAACAACTAAAAGAATGACAAGAGTCTGAACTGAGCACAAACTGTCCTAAATAAAAAAGCAGGAGAGGTGCTTTCTGGGTTAAGTCTAATAGAGGAAACCCAATGAGACTAGAATCTGAAGGGAAAAGTCCTGAGCAATTAGAATAAAATGTGTACCCACTTTTCATAGGTCAGCTGGGTGTGGGGGAACTAATTCTTGTGTAGTTGTTATAAAGGGGAAATCTATATTACTCAGAGCCTATTTGTAATGGCTTGAGAGACGCTTTATTCTAATTGTGGAAGAAACCATGGGACCAATGTTTTTTACAACTAAATCCCTAGAGCCCAACAGTGGTGGTATAAATACATGCTAAATAAAGTGTTCAGGTCTGATATTTAAACACCAGGTTGGAAAATCCAGAGACAGACATGTGTTAGCAGTGCCTCCCAAAGGAAGCTGGGATCAATCCATGGATCGATCTTAACCATTGTTAACTAGTAAGTTACTGTGTTTTTAAAGGCCTGATTTCTTAAATAGATCAAAAGTATTTGTGAAGGAGAAAAAGTGGATGTCTAAAAGAGTCCATGAAATATCTTACCTATTTATTCCTTCATCCGTCATTGTCTCATTCCAAAACTGATTTGAAGGAGTATATAGAAAGGCATGCAATTTTAACTAAATTTTTAAAAATGACAAATAATAGCAGAGTCACCGAGGGTAGAATATAAAAATGCATCCAATACAAGGATACATCATCCAAAACCATATCTTCTTTTTATGCTACAGGTCACAGGTCTCTTTATGCATCACAATCCTATGAATTAACTCCTAGATTTTAATATACGAAGTAACAAAACTAAAAGTCGGGGGCATCCTGCTAATTTTGCCAGGGACTCAGTGTGCTGTTCTTTACTGGGACCTGCGGGCTAAATAAGGGGATACTAAAACTCAACAGCAAAGAAACCATCTGCATCATTACCTTACCTCCAAATCACCTTCTGAGGCAGTCTCCCCAGGGCTCCTGCCAGTTTGTTAGCAATGTCTTCCGACAGATACTTGACACCGGCTCCAAAAGATACCAGAACAAAGCCATGCTCATTAGCACCATTTACCCAACTTTGGAGATCCTGTAAATCCAAACATGGCAGTTAATTTTGTGAAGAACTGTATAGTTCATAATCAGTGTCATCAACAGCCCAGTTTAAAAAAAAAAACTTCAGGTCATTTTCTTAAACAATTAGAAAGATAAGGTTATGATATTTTCCACTAACTGCTTTTTAAAAAAATATTTCATCTGACAACACTAATTGAAATAAGAAGGGTATATGGTTTACTTGGTAAGATCAATAAGTAATAACCAAAAAAAAAAAAATCAGTAGCTAATGACTTAAGTTTCAGACAGAATTCAAAAAACTGAAAATGATGTTTGATACATGGTCAAATAAATATGTATGAGGACACAAGCAATATATAATATACACAAATCAATTATACTGGCAAAAAATCGTTAATGTGTCTTTGAAAAATTTTTGTCAATATGATTTATTTATATTGAAAATGAAAGCAGTTTACTTTAAGGGATACCACCTTGCTTTATTTTATTCTACAAGCTTGTTTTAATGGTACAGCTACAAGGCACAAGCTTGTTTTTAATGGAAAGTCATCCTTTAAATAAATCTTTGCAAAGACAATGAGCTTTAATTTCCCATATGAAAACTATTAATAATAAAGCCATAGCACTTTAAGGAGCACATGAATTCCACTGTAAAGACAACAAACTTGCTGTCCGTTTATATGGACAGCATTATACACCTAGTGCTACAGCATAGTCACGAAAGCAGAGACCTAGCCCACTCTGTATTCATAATGTGCAGAGCGAGCTGCCGCAGTTATCGCTCACAGACCCTGCAGGTCTCTGGCTCAGGATGAATGAGTTATTGAGATGACTGCATGCTTTTGCATTTCATACCTCTTTCATGCTTTTGCATTTCATACCTCTTTCTAACTTAATCTAATTTGTAGCTAAGGCATACTTCACAACAAGAATCATCACAACAGAATCCCTGTGCAGCTTAATTAAGCACTTAAATGGAACATTAAGCCTAAGTTTTCTTTCCTTCCCCTCCACCTTTTTTTTTTTTTTTATCACTTAAATTTGTGCTCGTTTGCTGTATTGCAATCATTCTTAGCAGGGAGGGGGAACTGCATTTTATGCCCTAAATTAGTGCCACTACATGACCAAGAGTGACGATGGCATACTGAGTAAAACAGCCTGTAATTATCTGGTAATGAAGAAAACCTTACCAAAACACTTTATTTTCTAGGAGAATCTATTTATACAGGAGTTTATACAGACTATCTCCAACTTATGATTTTTCAACTTTATGATGGTGGGAAAACCATACACATTCAGAAGAAATTGTACTTTGAATTTTGACCTTTCCCAGGGCTAGTGATACATGGTACCTGTACTCTCTCTCTCTCAAGATGCTGGGCCACAGCAGTGAGTCGCAGCTCCCAGTCAGCCACACAATCACAAGGGTAAGTGACCAATACCCTACAGTGTACTGCCAGTGTGTTGCCAAGTGATTTTGCACAACTGTGGACGAATGCAAAGTGTTCTGAGCAAGTTTAAGGTAGGCCAGGCTAAGCTGTGATGTTGGTATGTGGGTGTATTAAACGCATTTCACCTTCAACGGAGTCAACTTAACAATGGGTTTATCATGAAATAACCCCATTGTAAGTCAAGGAACATCTGTATATAAAACAAATAGAGGCTATATCAACTTTGGATTAAAGCTTTTAACTTATATTCCGCTACATTTACCAAGAACATCACACGTGCTGAAAATTTAATGGTGTTATCTGTGGATTCAAAGTCATGAACAAGAGCAAACTGATTTAAACTTTTAATTTCATGTACAGTCCGAAGCTGGATGTACTTAAACACAAATGCACGGTAGAATGATTTGAACGCATGTGGTGTATTTAAATGACATACACAGCCTTTAGTGATATGGAATGGAATAGAAAAAAATTGTACTCATCATGGTTTCCTTCAGGAAAAGTACTCAGTGTTTTTAGAAGTTTATACTTCCTTTGGCTTAGAAGGGAGAGTGAGGCCCTAAAATAATACTGAACATTTTGACACAAAATGTTTTAAGAAAAACATCTTGGGACATCAAATATGTGATCTCTACCTACTGCTAAGATAGTTAACCAAGACTTACTAAAAAAAATACCACTGAAAATATAAAAGTCATCATTCAAAAAAAAATGTGCCAACCATTGTTTTCACTGATTTGTTTGGCTGGAGATTCGTGTCAAATCCCAATTCCACAATTTGCTGTATAACCTTAGTCAAGTCACCTACTCTCTCTGAGGCCCAGCTTCCCCATCTCTAAAAATGCTGAAAATACTTTACAGGGACATTATGAAGATTAAATGAGACTAAATAAATAAAAGTCCTTTGTCAAATAAAAATTACCCAGTTCTTTTCCCTAGCCAGAATGTCTGATAAATAATGCATAGATTATAGACTGAAATGATATCCACTTTGAGAAAAGGGGGACAAAAAAGTCATTCTGAACCAAAATATTTTTGCTCACTTATATTTTGCTCAACATGTTATATAGATTCTTCAGAATACAGCTGGTTAAAATACGTAAATGAGAAGTAGCACAAAAATATTTTACATGTAGCATCAAATCTAGTTGTCGGTTTTGCAGAAAACTCAAATGATTTCCCAAATTGAGAGTTAAGCTACAATCAACCTAAAGAAGCAATAGATCAATGTCAAGGTGATGATTCTATTTTTTAAAATCTCAGAAGATGCTTTTATTAATACAGTGAAAGTTCAGGAAAATGAAATAAGCACCTAGAAGGATGTATTCATTTCCACTGTTCTGCAGTACTTGTTTATCTTTCTCATAGGCTTTTAATTGTTGCCAGTACAGTTACAAATTAAAAGCAGTAAGCAAAATTTGAAACCCTGATTTGACTTTGAAAAGAGGTAAATTTTCAAGGTTCTTAAGACCTTCAAGAAACTGCACACAAGCAGCAGGAAAATCCCAAGGATATGATCATGGCAAGGTACTGAGGTGCTACGGAAGGTAACCACTGGATAGAGAAAAGGACAGAAATACTAAATAAACAGAGGTGAAACTGTCACCAGAAAAGAAAAATATTAGTCCATAAATTACATTTAAAGCTATTTTAGGTTAGACAAGAAAATTGAGAATCCAGAGGTTTGGGGAGAATGGAAGAGATTTGAACATACTTAATTGCCATCAAGAACGAGAAAAAGGGTGTAAAGTGGATGGATAAATGTATAGAAAGAAGAGGCACTCAGTACTTATTTTAATAAATTGAGAAAGCTAAGAGTAATCTATATCCTTAAAAGGATAAACAATAAGTAATTTTTTTTTCTTTTTCTATTCAGTTAACTAGATAAGTAAGGCTGTCTTTCCCCTAGAATGTAGGAGAAAATTGGGCATTTTAAAGAAATGTCTCATTTTTATATTCAAGTTTAACTACTAAATTGTGATCTTCCTAGACAAAATAAAGGCAGGCCTGCCAGCCAGTCTACCTGTCTGCCTACCTTCCTTCCAGAGAAAACAAAAATAACCAACACTTTCTTACGATAGTCACAATGTTATACCATAAGGACATAAAGACTGATAAAGAATATTTACATAGCTTCAAATTCTGACTGATTACCAAGGTAACATTAATAATGTGACAGGGAAGAAGCCTGGTACATAACACCTTGATCAAGTGATCAAAGTGGACATCATCAATGATGGAACAAGTCAAAACCATGCACAACCTAATTAGATGCAATATGCAGAGCACGGCATTCCTTCTATGATACTGCTGTCCAGGGTGTATCAAAATTCAATCCAATTATGAGGAACATAAATTAAGCCCAAATGAGGGACATTCTATAAAATAGCAGACCTATAATCTTCAACAGCATCAAATTCATGAGAGTCAAAAAACAAAAACAACACACTGAATAAACTTTTAAGGAGTCTAAAGGCACGTAGAAAATAAAGGCAATGCATAATTCTTAACTGGATCATTTCATTATAAAGGACACTATTAGAGAATCTTGCAAAACTTCAAAGAGTTTTAAGATTTAGGTGGTAGTAATACACTGTTGTTAATTTCCTAATCCTGATGCTTTGAATTATGGTTATGTAGGAGAATGTCTTTATGTTTATGAAACACATACTAATGTATTGGGGTTATAAGGTATCATATAGGAAAATTACTCTCAGGTGGTTCAAATAAAAAACATCTTGAACTGCAAATTTTCTATAAATGTGCTATTATTTTAAAATATATATTTTGAAGAGATTGTTATGTTATGAAAGAAAGAAAATAAAAGGAATACAGCTTTCAATTTGACAATTATACACTAGAAACATGGTTTACTAGCAACAGCCAATAACCTATGAACAAATACTACTACCTGTAATAAGCCTCCATAACCAATGATATTTCTTTCAAAACAGCTTACTTCTGTTTGCCTTTAAAAGCTTCCCTTTACCCCAGACCCCCTGCCATGGACCTATGGGTCCACCACGGCATGTGCATCTAGCATTGCAAACCTGGGCTATTCCTAAACAAACTCTGTTTTGGAGAAAAAAAAAAAAAAAAAAAAAAAAAACGACAAAAATACCTCAGAATTTTTGGATGCAAATTAAATCAATACAATTTTATTTTATTTTGGAAAATATTCTAGATAATCTATTAATTTTTAGTTTTAAATTTAAACTTCTCACCATCAATTTCAGCATCTGATTAACACACTGAACTGAAAATTATTTTTTTAAATAAACTACATACAGGGAATTGGTAAGTAGTCTACTTGGTAAAAACAATCTAGGGAGATATATAAATAATTTATCATACCTGAAAATTATAAAGCTGTAGCAAAAGACATAGGAATTATATTGTGTGGCAGGTTGTATTTTCTGCTCTCAGAACCTTCTCATCGCGTGGGACTATGTCCACACTTCATAAACCTGGACTATGTCCACACCCCATAAACCTGGGGGCAGTTGCATGACTTCTCTGATCAATAGAGTACAAAAACAATACTATGTGATTTCCAAGACTA